ATAGATATTTCCCTGTATATTTCTATTTAAGACTTTGATCCTCCATTGTGGCCCCACTCTACCCTCGGGGGTCATGATTTGAACAAAATAAAATCTACACTACCTTAGGATGCTTCCACATAAATATGATCAATCAGGACTTTGCTGTTCCTGAGAAGATTTTTTAAAATTTTTCCTATATATTTCTATGTAAAAACTTGATCCTCCATAGTAGCCCCACCCTACCCCCGGGGGTCATGATTTGAATAAATTTGAATCTACACTACCTGAGGATGCTTCCATATAAATATGACCAATCAGGGCTTGGCTGTTCCTGAGAAGAAGATTTTTAAAGATTTTTCCTATATATTTCTACATGTATGTAAAACTTTGATAGTCAATTGTGGCCCCGCCCTACCCCTAGGGGTCATGATTTGAACAAATTTGAATCTACACTACATGAGGATGCTTCCATGTAAACACGACTCATCATGGCTTTGCTGTTCTTGAGAAGAAGATTCTTAGAGATTTTTCCCTTATATTTCTAAGTAAAACTTTGATCCTCCCAAGTGGCCCCGCCCTACCCCCGGGGGTCATGATTTGAACAAACTTAAATCTACACTACCTGAGGATACTTCCATATAAATATGACTCATCATGGCTTTGCTGTTCTCGAGATTTTTAAAGGTGTTTCCTATATATTTCTATGTAAAACTTTGATCCTCCATTGTGGGCCACCCTACCCCCGGGAGTCCTGATTTGAACAAACTTAAATCTACACTTTCAGAGGATGCTTCCATATAAATATGACTCATCATGGCTTTGCTGTTCTCGAGAAGATTTTTAAAGATTTTTCATATATATTTCTATGTAAAACTTTGATCATCCATTCTGGCCACGCCCTACCCTGAGGGGTCATGATTTGAACAAATTTGAATCTACGCTAGCTGAGGATGCTTTCACATAAATATGGCTCATCATGGCTTTGCTGTTCTTGAGAAGAAGATTTTTAAAGATTTTTCCTATATATTCACATGTAAAACTTTGATCCTTCATTGTGGCCACGCCCCCCCCCCCCCCCCGGGGATCATGATTTGAAAAAAAAAACTTGAATCTACAATACCTGAGGAAGCTTCCACATGATTTTCATTTTTCCTGGCCCTGTGGTTCTTGAGAAGATTTTTAAAAGATGCTATTGATATTCCACTAATTCTTTATTATCTCCCCTTGAAAAAGGGCGTGGATCTTCATTTGAACAAATTTGAATCCCTTTCACCCAAGGATATTTTGTGGCAAGTTTGGTTGAAATTGGCCCAGTGGTTCTTGAGAAGAAGTCGAAAATGTTAAAAGTTTACAGATAGACGGACAGACAGACAGACGCCGGGCAAAGAGTGATCAGAAAAGCTCACCTGAGCCGAATCCTTGCCAATCAACGTTTAAATGCATGATCCTTACACAGTCCAACACCGAAAGAAAATCTAGATATAATAGAATCTGTCAAAAAAATTGTAGTATCAGCTTGTAGTAATATCAAGACAAAAGAACAAACAAAATTGAAAATCATTAACACCATGGATCCCACCATCACAGAAGAGTTTGGCGTGTCCTTTAAGAAAAGGCATTCTCTAGATGACAAAAAATCACCAGCCAAGAAACAAAACGTAAAAACCCCAGTAACCAGAGAAGCTAAGAAACAAATTACTACCACCTTAGAAGAGCAGGACCATCAACATTTCTTGGCAAGTGGCAAATAGTTAAGAAGCATGAAAAAGAGAGGTTGATGGTCACACATATGTCAATAGAAGAGTCAAAAGCTGTACTTGTAAGAAGCAAGAGCTGAAAAGGAAAAGGTGGGAAAAGTCAAAGTTAAGTCACACTATGGACGGTTTTAACGATAGAACTTCGACAATTAAAAAAAAGTTTCTTAATGACATCAGGAATATTCCAGGAGGCAGCCTTGTAAACTGGACAGAGAAGACACTGAGATACAATGTTCGAATCGATGGAAAATTTCCCTTGAATGCAGGTCAAGTCGTAGCACATTATGCAAAAGAAATTGGTATAGAGATAAGGAAATCCAACACAAAATTTATGCAACCTACCATCAAAGACTACAGGAGAAGAATTTGAAGAATGAAGAAAAAATTGGAACAAGGGTGTCAGTTCCTACACATCGATCTAGTAAAATACTGAGAAAAAGATGATTGTGTGTTGTTTTACGTCTTGAGAAAAAGAGATGGTTACTGAAATATTTACAATTTCCGATTTAGAAATCAGCGAAAGACCAAAGTACATGTATCCATATGAAAATGGTGTAAAATTAGTGTCCTGTTCATTAATCATCATTATGTAAAAATCAAACATGAAGGTTTCGATACAAATAGAATAGGGTTCTTTGAAGATATATAAGGTGAGTTCAGATTTTATATGATAAATGATATTCTATCGGTCTTTCTAGTTGTGGATTTAGGTTCGTAGCAAACACTCCCCCCCCCCCCCCAAAAAAAAAAAAAATTAAACTGCCCAAACTCGAAAATCCTACTTAGAAGGGGGGAGGATACTAGATGTTTCTCTAACGTTTATTTTCCCGGCAATGTGACTTTTCATCCAAAACTCCCATCGGTAAAATTGAATCTTTATCACAGACTATGAAAAACATTGACCCTTCTTTAGTTCATTACTTATTGAAAATAAACTATCAGTGGCTATAACCACAGAATCCTGAAGTTTTGTATCGTGAAAAAAATACCGGAGAAAAATATTCCACCCTCTACTAAAAACACCAGGATAGCACTGCTTTTTTGGGGGTGACCCGTCAAACAAATATGTCTGGGTTTAGCCCAGGAAGACGGGAATGGACAATATTCCGGAGTAATCAGAGTCTGGATTAGACAACTCATTCTGTAAATTACAATGAAAACTGTTACGTGATCAGGTAAAACAGCTGTAAAAGTCTAATGCACTAAAAAGTCCATCTTACAAAGTAAGCCCCTTGTCAATATTTTGAATCAGAAATTTCCTGGTCAAAGTAACTGTAAGAGACTGAATATAAGTGGGTCAAGATGCTCATTGATGCTAACGCCTAGAGGTACAGGCAGGTTTGAAGTAACCTCAACCCACCATCTGTTAGGGTAATACCTACGATTGGCGAAAATGGGGGGGGGGGGGGGCTAAGAAAGGTGCTTGCCAAGCGACCTAATTTTATCTTTGTAATGATTGCCAATAATTCATGCTTATGTTCTCTTGCAGAATTCATATGATATGGTTAATAAACTCTTTGACATAATGTAACCGTTGGGCTCCATGAATGTATGGATACTGATCAAGGTATTTCTGAAGTACTAGGAGCTTGATTGAAGTAGAACCTAGGCGTGTTATATCTTGGTCTTTACTAATGATATTGCATTTAACGATAAGGTCGAAAATAATGTTGGATTGTTGGGTATATTCTGCTATTTTGGTTTGGAATGGTGACAAATTGGGTTTGAGATGACTGATAAGACCAACAGTGTATGTGCAGATGGAACTTGTTTCAGTGTATACAAGCATACTGGAAAACAAACACTGGGGACTTTGGAACACACGCCTTTAAGATTGTAGTCAAACCATTTGAACAATGAATATAATTTGTAAGTGCTGGTAACAAATGTAACAAAATTTTCAAAACTTCTTTAAGACATTTTTTCATGCATATATAAGAATGTTACCATAGTTAAAAGTAAGGCATTTAAAAGCTCAAACTGATAAATGAATACAATATTAATTGAAGCGTGAGCATTCCATAGAAAAGCATGAAAATCGTGCTCCTACTTTCTGGAAGAATTATTTCTTTCTTCGTAATCGTTCTTTTCATGTTTATATTCATAAAAACACAGAAACAAAGTTACTGGGAATGCGAAATTTGACCGTTAAAATTAACAGGGCAGTTGGAATGGTGTTTGCAGGAGGTTTAAAAAAATAAAAGAAAAAGATTTAGAGATTATTGTTGCTTATCATAATAAAAATTCTGCGATAGGACTGACAAATTTTAAAGTGTCTTCTATAACAGGCCATTGCTTTTAATATATTTTACGAGTGGGACAGTGGTTAGAGCGTTTGCTCTAGAGTAGATTCTTTCGAGAATTTTTCCTTCATATTGCTGGTGGAATGCTGCAAATTTTAGACCTATAAACGGCACTGAGGGCCATTGAGCAGTGAGGAATTTTTTTTCGTGCCAGCACCTACTGCGACACGGGACCTCGGCTTATACGGTCTCACCCGAAGGACAAGTCTCCACGTCACGCAGTGGAATTCGAAACCGCGACGTAAAGATCAACTCCTTACTCCGCGAATCTAGAGCAAACGCTCTAACTAATGCACCACGCCGGCGACCACAGTTTGGTGAGAAAAACTAAATTTTTTTTAGAAACGTCAGATTTGAAAAAATATTGATCGCAGCATTGGTGTTTACATTCTTTATTCATAATGCAATCGGTGAAACACACATTTCTTTTTAAATTTAAACCTTTTACGTACAGGATTTCTAAGACGTTTTTATACTAAATTATTTTTATATGAATTTTTTTTACCTTTACTTGCCGTCGAAAAATCTGATATATGGAGGAGCAATTTAATAATGATTCAAGAATATTTGTTTGTAATATGAACATAAGGAAAAAAGTAAAACTGATACTTTCCACACATTTTCCTCTTGAAGTACTGTATATAATTACTTAAAATTTATTTTACTTATTATTTAAGAAAGGGAAACCAGATCTGGAGATACGAGTGTTTGCATGAGAGGATTGACAATTTATTTCCCTGTTTATAAACTCTACAGTTACTTACTACAATTATTTTAATTGCTTTAATTATATTCTTGACCTTGTCTCTTAAGTTCACTGTGAGTCAGAAGTTTTTTTTATTACCCAACTTCCTGGTACAGATCTGAGATAAAGCAACTGCTAGCAACGCATTAGGAGTTAAGGTAGATTTTACAAAAATCTACAATTATTTCCAGTGGATATATTGGGACCATTCAATATCTGTTGAAAGGATCTCCCTGTGTGAATATTTATCGACGAATTCCTCTTTCCTGAGATTTGCTTCACTGCATATATTGGTAGGTATGGTATTTTCTGGTTTTAATATGATTAGCATGAGGTAAACAAAGACACAATGTAATGAAGATTCTGTGAAAGTCTCACTGAATTTTATTCAGTAGGAGCAATTTCAGATAAGAGATGAATTGCAAAGTCTACGTTTTGCTATGTCTGTCCGATCGAAAAGTAAAATAGAATACACAGTCCAACTATGTTATAGATAATGGACAGACATTCCCATCACTATATACCCTTTTTTTTTCCAAGTGATATTGGAAATGACTTACTTAAAGATAAAATTGATTGGAATGAAATCACTTCCTTATTAAATTAAGATCAAACGTTGATTTTTAATTAAAAATATCATAACAAAAGTCCGTTAATTTTTAAGTTTAATGATTAATACAGTATTATCATGATCACTTTGATTTCAAATATTTAAAACAATACTATAAATTGTACGTTTAGTGTCTGTATTATGAATAAACAACTATATATCTAAGGTATCATACTACGTAAAACAAGATCACGCATTACTTAAAAGAAAGGTTAAGTATTCAATGCCAACAAGATCTATATAAAAAAAAAACATTGAAAAATCTCACTTATATTAAACTAGACAGATATATTTAGACATCCTTAGAAATTATTTTCTTTTAGAAATAAAGATGAAATTTCTTTCAAAGAGCCACATCATTCAATGGATTTGAATCATATACTTTTGTTGAGATTCTTCCTGGTGTATGTACATGTACATACATGTAGACTGAATGGATAACTTTTTTTTTCAGAAAGAAGAATGATTCTCCTCACTGCTCAGTTTCTTCTGTTTATAATATACGCCCAGGCTTACGGTAAATTTATGACATATTTTTTTTTAATTAAAGAGAATACTAACGTAATCATGTTAAAACATGAAAAAAAAAAATTAACAACGAAGATGAACTGTACCCAACATTAAATATAAAAAGAGAATCTTCACGTACCAATCTTTGATTTCCTTTTTAAAACAAAAAGTATTCTTTCTCAGGATATCGAATATTTTAAAATAATTCATACACTAAATTTACTCTAGAATGAAACTTTACTTGACTCTAAAGAATAATGAACTAGAATTGCCTAAAACTTAAGCGAACATTTTCTGTCATGACTCCTCAATTTTAAAGGATCAGTTCACACTACATGAATTGGAAAAACTGACACGCTTCTATATATGAAATTTACATTCTTTCGTATGCATAGAAATTAAAAACGTTAAAATTTGAGCTTGAATTTAAAAAGTGTATTTATGTTATCATTCGTAAGAAAATTTAGCTCTACGAAAACCTGCCTGGCAAGCGCACAATTGGCCTGATGAAGGATATGACAAAGCATGGGGAGCAAGCAAAGCAGTGGATGGACATTATTCAGATCGCTCAGCACCAGGGAACCACTGTACAATATCAGAAGGAATGCCAACAGCTACACTGAGAGTAGACCTTGGGAGAGTGTCCAGCATCAATCACGTCAACATCTACTACAGAACTGATAATGCTCCGAGTACGTTAGTAGTCCTATCAGTGTATCCCTAATTCACTCTTGGTTTCACAGTAAATGGCCTATAAAGGGGTCTCAACCACCGAGATCTTTTTTTTCCCTCAAGAAATTAAAATTTTATTATCTTAATAATATTTCATGATTATAATTAATCTGGCTAAAAGGATAAGTAAATGTAATCACAATACTGAACATTTCACATAGTTTTTTTTCACTGAAATGTAATCACAATAATACTGAACATTTCACATAGTTTTATTTCACTGATAAATCTCGTCACTATTTTTTTTTCAAGGTTATCTTAAAATTTGATGAACAATTTCATGGTGATTTAGGGAAAATATATGCCTTGCGGACAATTAGCACATATAGCATTTCGAAACATATTTTCATTTTATTAACTGTAATACACTATGCTGAAATATTCAGTTGATGAGTAAAGTATATATACATGTATATGAGAATAGCACCAAAAAATCCATGGTCAGAAAAAAAACAACAATATCTAAAGTTTATCGTTATGTGAAAAAGAAGTTTTTTTTTAATTTAATGTAAAGCTACATGGTAGACAGAAATAACTAAAAACAAAACCCATTAATTCTTTAGAATCAATTTAAAATGACATATAAACTTTTTTAAGGTCCTGGTGCTTACTTCGATCGATTTGCTGGGTTTTTCCTTTATGTGTCAAATTACACACAAAAAGAACGTGGCAAGCTTTGCTTCCATGAAATACAAAATGTGAATGGAACACCTTTAGAGAACAAAACAATAAACTGCCTTGTTCATGGACGTTATGTCATATATTACAACGAGAGGAAGTGGAATGTTACCTACCCTAAATACTATTCTAAAAAAGCATTCAACGAAGTGTGTGAATTGCAAGTTTTTGGTGAGATTTAAAAAAAAAATGCCATTGATACTTTTTTTGAATTTTGAAGACAAAAACAACCTAGGTATATTTTTAATTCTTATAATATATATGTGGTTAATTTGTGAATTAAGGATGCAATGATTCAAGAAAGTACGGAGTGAATTGTGATCAAGAGTGTTCAAAAAGGTGTCAGGAGGAAAGGTGTTACACAACAGGAGACTGCCTGAGCTGTATACCGGGGTATCTAGGCCATCAATGCAATAGGCGTAAGTACAATGTACATCTGTACGCTGTATACCGGAGTATCACCGCCCTCAATGCAATAGGCGTAAGTATACTGTATACCGGGGTATAAAGACTCTCAATGTAATAGGTGTAAGTACACTGTTTGCTGTATACCGGGGTATAAAGGCCTTCAATGTAATAGGCGTAAGTACAATGCACGTTGTATACCGGGGTATCAAAGCCCTTAATGTAATAGGCGTAAGTACAATGTATGCTGTATACCAGGATATCAAAACTCGCAGTGTAATAGGCGTAAGTACACTGTATGCTGTATGTCGGGGTATCAAGACCTTCAATGTAATAGGCGTAAGTAAAATGTACGCTGTAAAACGGGGTTCAAGGCTCTTGATGTACTAGACGTTAGTACAATGTACCCAGTATACCGGGGTATGATGGCCCCCAATGTAATAGGCGTACGTACAATGTATGCTGTATACCGGGGTATCACGGCCCTCAATTTAATAGGCGTAAGTACAATGTACGCTGTAAACCGGGGTATCAAGACTCTCAATGTAATAGGCATGAGTACAATGTACACTGTATACCGGGGTTTCAAGGTCCTCAATGTGAGAGGCGTATGGACAATGTACGCTGTATACCGGGGTTTCAAAGCCCTCAATGTAATAGGCGTAAGTACAATGTATTCAATGCAATATGTGCAACTACAATTTACGTGCTACATACGGGTATCAAAGCCGACCATGCAATAGGCGTAATGTACGTTGCGTTTTGAAATTTTTTTTTATTTTTAGCAAATATTGACCTACAGTATACTAACATATGCATTTATATTAAGAAAAATCATAATAGTTTTTTTTTTATAATATTCTATTTGTCCAAATATTTCATATATTGCATTTTTTTGTTCTGTTTCAGCATGTGATGATCAAACGTACGGTCTGGGGTGTTCCTTATCGTGTGGTAACTGTAGTAAAGGAGAAACCTGTCATCATGTCAACGGCACGTGTATGACTGGTTGTAATGAAGGAGCAAAGGGACAAAAGTGTAAAATACGTAAGATAATCCCATTGCATTAGAAAGCATTCAAAAGAAACGTAGGATTTTCGAATTCCTGTTAGTTATTCATTTTAATATGTATATCAAAAGATCAAACTGGAAACAGTTTTTATTTTTGCATGTAAACGTTTCAACTAGTTATCTTTTTAGTTTACATAAGCAGTATGCTCAAGTGAGCTTTTCTGATCAAATTTGTCCGTTGTCGTTGTTAACTTTCTACAATTTCACCCTCTTCTCCAGAGCCACTGAGCCTTTTTCAACCTAACTTGCCACAAAGCATCCTTGGGTGAAGGGGATTTAAGTTTGTTCAAATGAAGTGCCACGCCCTGTTCCAATGGGAGTTCATTAAGAATTCGTGAAAATCTGGTGACATCTTTTGAAAACTTTTTTTCTGAACAACTGCGCCATGAAAGGTAAAACTAATGTGAAAGCTGCATTACGTACTATAGATTCAAGTTTGTTCATATCCCCTAGGGATAGGGTGGGACAACAAAGTTTAACGTTGGAATATATAGAATTTTTTCCCTGAAAATCTGAAGACCAGCGACGTAATATTAATGCAGACGTATCAACAGGTAGTGAAGATTTAAGCTTGATTAAATCATGACCCCAGGGGGTGGGGAGGGCCACAACAGGTTGTCAAAGTTATACATAGGAATATATGGAAAAAATTGTAAAAAATCTTCTCCACAACAGCAAAGTCTTGATTAGAAATATTAATACAGAAGTATCCTCAGGAAGTGTAGATTGAAGGTTGCTCACATCATGACCCATCTGGGTAGCGTAGGGGTCAAAAAAGGGGATTGAGGTTATATATAGGAATATTCAGAAAAAAATCTTCTCAAGAACTGTAAAGTCATGATTAATCATATTAATACAGAAGCATGCTCAGATGGTATAGTTTCAAGATTGTTTGAATCAAGACTCCCGGATGTACATGTAGGACAAGGCCAAAAAAGGGATCAAAGCTATACATAGGAATACCATATAGCGGGTTTCTTTAAATAGCGGGTGTAAAATTAGGCTTTTTACATGCTCAAAGGCATGCCAATCATTTTAAAAATACTGGATTCCATAAAGTTACAAATCAGTAAGATAATGTGGTACCGCTGAACAAAAGATTACTTAAGGTACCCTTAGATATGTAGATATATCTCCCAGATGAGTCAACGGTACGTTTACTTTTAAATACCAATTTAAGCTAGAGTTCAGAGAATATAATGTTGACATGTAAATAGCCAGATCAAAGTTATGTTCCTGTGTTCAGTACCTACAAAATAGAGTTCAATGTAGCGATTAAAATTTTTGTGGATTCTTCAAACCGCTTAAAAAGCCAAAATTAACACCCCGCTTAAAATCCCTCCATACTGTATATAGCAGAAGATCTTTGAAAATCTTCTGCTCAAGAACAGCAAAGCCTTAATTAGTCATATTCATATAGAAGCAGGCTTAGGTAATGTAAGTTTGTTAAAATCATGATCCCGGAGAAGGCAGGGCACAACGGGGGATCAAAGATATACAAATGGATATATAGAAAAAAAAACTTTAAAAATCTTCGTCTCTAGATCAGCAAAGCCATTATTAACTCGTGTTTATATGGAAGCATCCTCAAGTAGCGTAGACTGAATTTTTTTTCAAATCATGCCCCTTGGTGTAGGGTAAGGCCATCGTATTGATCAAATTTTTCATAAGAATATGTAGGAAAAAGAATCTGCTGATGAATGAACAGAATAACCATTATAGTTACTCAGATGAGCGTTGTGGCCCATTGGCCTCTCGTTGTGTCTTCCTTGTCTTAAGCACAAAAAATATAATAGTGTCCTAAATATAGACGTATTTTACAAGCTTACAGGGATTTCCTGGGACGTCTTTTTAAAAGATAACTAGAAACGAGGTTTCTGAAATACATTATAGGAATTTCTTTAGGTTTTTGCTCAAAAGTTCAGGCAGGTTGAAAGAGTAATCTTGAGTAAATACATTATCTCTAATATACGAGGGGTGATCAAAAAGTTCGCGAACTATCTCTATATTTACAAAACTACGATTCAGATCAGGATGAAACTTGGCACACATATAGTCATACACATGTTCTATAAATAGCAGATGTTATGTAATGTTTGTGACGTCACAGTGTGAAAATGACGTCAATATGTATGTGACTTGTGACGAAAAATGATTGACTCAGTCGTACTCGAGCAACGAACGGTGTAAAGTTTAACATGTATCTTGGAAATTCCTTCGCAGTAGCATATAATAATTTGTACAAGGTTTATGAAGACAAAAGACTTTCCAGAAGCTCAATCATTAATTGGATTGATTGTTTTAGTGAAGGAAGGGAGATGGTTAAATACGATGTTTGTTCTGTTGCCCATTGAAAGCAAGCTAGGGAAGAGATGTGTCCTTTGTTGAACAATTAGTTATGAAAGATTGCCAAGTTACAGTTGGAAAAATAATTGAATATCTTAACAATAATATAATTATTAAATCCCTAAAATATCGTTTACTTTAGACTTAAAACATATCAGATATGATAAAAAGAAGGCACCCATACTTTATCCACATTGGAAAAACGACGCTCCCAAGACAGAGGGTTCAGGTTTTGATGGTCACCATGCTCATTCTGGGAAAGGATATCCTTATCCACCAATCCTATTGCCGAAATTTGGCCATTTCTGACAAATGGACTGTTATTGTTATAAAAGATAATTTGCATGGTAAGAAATATAAGACTCGGAAAAATCTTTTAGCTTCTGTGACAGAACGCTACGGAGCATGTCACGTGACCGCCTGTATCACGTGATTCGCGCATGGGCAGAACGGTGGCAGATGTGCATTTAAATTGGAGAGGACTATGTTAAAAAATAATGAACACTGAAACCTCATTTCATTTCTTCTACGGAAGTAATTCAATTACTTCGCGAACATTTTGGTCACCCCTCGTATGTAACCTATATCATAAGCATTTTTAGGGAAAATGAATAATACACTGAGTTTTCAATATACAAAAAATTCATATGCTTATTTAATAGTAGATTTCTGAGTAATTAAAGCTTTTATATCATAAAATTAAAAATGTTGTATAATAAGATTCCTTGAAATATATTTTAAAAAATAACAGTGAAACTCAGTTCTCATGATGCCACTGGGACCTCAAATTTTGCCTCCTTATAAAAGAGATTCTTTATATCTGTATGATAAACATAGTGAAAAGTCCTCTAAGGGGGAAAGTTCTTTAAAACCGGTATTTCCTTATAAGCGAGTTCTTTATAACTGAATTTTACTGTTTTCATTTTTTCTTACATTTTTTTTTCTTTTGAATTCTTTCTTAACAAAGTTTTTCAAAATTATATTCAGCGTGCAATCCTGGTTATTATGGTAAAGATTGTGTACAAAAATGCAATGTTAACTGTGGAGTGTCCAGACGATGTGACAGGTTTACTGGGGAGTGTGAGGGAGGGTGTCAGCCTGGATGGAGGGGAACTCTGTGTGACAAACGTATGTATAAACATGTACTTTGTAATCATGTAATGTATAAACAAGATGTGTTTGTGAAACACTGATGCCCTCGTATGGCAACTTATAGCGAAGATTAAACGTTCTCAAATGCAAATCAAATATGCTGGTACCCAAAGTAAGGTCTTGTACCGAGGAATATACCTGTGCAATATGAAAGCCTTAGCATCAATCATCGAAAAGATATGGAAATTTTTTTTTTTTCAAAAGTAAGTAAAACATCAATGTCAAAAGGTCAAAATTAACGGTACCCAATGAAAGGACTTTTCACAAGATATACAAATGTGAAATATGAAAGTCCTAACACCAACCGTTTAAAAGATATGGCCAAGGTTAAAGTTTTTCAAAAGTAGGTCAAACTCCAAAGTCACGGTCAAAGGGTCAAAGTTGTTGGTATCAAAAGTAAGGTTTTGTTACAAGATTTGCATATGTGAAGTATGAAAGCCCTAGTATCAACTGTTCAAAAGAAATGGCCAAGATTAAAATTTTCTAAAAGTAGGTATAACTCCAAGATCAATGGGCAATAATTGTTGGTATCTAAAGGAAGGGCTTGTCACAAACATTACACATGTGAAGAATGAAAGCCCTAGCACCAACTGTTCAAACGTTATGGCCAAGGTTAAAGTTTTCCAAAAGTAGGTCAAACTGCAAGGTCAAAGGGTAAAAGTTGTTCGTATCCAAAGGAAGTCCTTGTCACAAGGATTACATATGTGAAGAATGAAAGCTCTAGCACCAACCGTTCAAAAGATATGGAAAAGATTAAAGTTTTTACAAAAGTCAAACATCAAGGTCAAAATTAATGGTGCTCAAGGAAAGGCCTTTTCACAAGAAATACTTATGTGAAATATGAAAACCCTAGCACCAACCATTTAAAAGATTTGACCAAGATTAAAAGTTTTTCAAAAGTACCAAGTATGTGAAGTATGAAAGCCCTAGAATCAATTGTTCAAAAGAAATGGCCAAGGTTAAAGTTTTCCAAAAGTAGGTTAAACTCCAAGGTCAAAGTTAACGGGCTATAATTGTTGGTATCTAAAGGAAGGGCTTGTCACAAGGATTACACATGTGAAGAATGAAAGCCGTAACACCAACTGTTCAAAAGAACTGGCGAAGGTTAAAGTTTTCCAAAAGTAAGTCAAACTGCAAGGTCAAAGGGAAAAAGTTGTTCGTATCCAAAGGAATGCCTTGTCACAAGGATTACATATGTGAAGAATGAAAGCCCTAGCACCAACCGTTCAAAAGATACGGCCAATTATAAAGTTTTAAAAAGTAAGTAACTCCAAGGTCATAGGGTAAAAGTTTTTGGTATCCATAGGAAGGTCTTGTAAAAAGGATTACATATGTGAAGAATCAAAGCCCTAGCACCAACCGTTCAAAAGATATGGCCAATGTTAAAGTTTTTCAAAAGTAGGTAGGTCAAGGGCAAAGGGTCAAAGTTATTGAAATCCCAAGAAAGGTCTTGTCCCAAGGGTTACACGTGTGAAGTATGAAAGCCCTAGCACCAACCGTTCACAAGTTATGGCCAAGGTTAAAGTTGGGTAAAATTTTGTAAATCTGGGTCAAATTCCAAGGTCATGGTCAAAAGATCAAATATGATGGTACCCAAAGAATGATCTTGTCACAAGGAATACACGTTTGAAATATTAAAGCCATAGCTCCAACCAATCAAAAGTTATGGGCAATGTTAAATTTTTTGCGGATAAACAGACGGAAAGACAGGGCAAAAACTATATACCCCCGAATCTTCGATAAGGGGGCATAAAAATAGATACTTAAGTAATCTAAAATCTAACTGTTCAATACTGTGTAGCCAGCTCTCAGTTAGTAATAATTATTTAGATTATTGTAACATTTTGAAATTGTACACGAGTTCACAGATTAATAAACTGGCAATGCCTGTACAATACTTATGGTTCACAGCGGGTGTAACCGATCAAAAGGGGATGCCCAATCCTCAAAGGCACTTGATCCCACCTCTGTTTTATTCCAAGGGTCTGCATTTTTTGCCCTGTTCACGATTAGTTTTGTTTAATGGATTGTTGACATACATCACTGTTCGTTATGTTCACTTTTATTCCATTTAAAAATGGTATAATTTTACAGTTGATCATTACCTAATCTTTCCAATTAGAACACATTTAATAAACGCAGTTTGACAGATCTGGAACACTAAGGCGTAAATAAATTTGTTTTTATGATTGTCATTTGTTTTCTGTTTATTTATTTCATTCACGCTTCAATTTGGGTAAAAGAAAAAAAATCGCAAAGTTCCATTTAGAATAAGATATTTCTTATACTTTATTACGATGGCGAAAATTATTTTGACGGATTCTTCTATCTAACACCAAAGAAAGGAAAGGTTATAATTGTACCGCCGACCTATAGGGCCGGGATTTATTTAAGTCTGTACAAGAAGTCTGTCGATTTCCATTCCGGTCAATGACTTAAGGTGACATGCATACATTTGTTTCTCAAACATTATTTAATTTCTAGCAATGCATGTAAAGGAGGAATCTTTTCATAGACATTAACTGTGTAGCGTGATATTGTCATAACATTTTGCGTTTGTTACCAGTATAAGTGTAATTTGAATTATTCTTTACTTTTCATTGTTACGGTAATATCTATAGCCTTAATTCTCTTGACATATTTTATTTTGCACATTTCCTTGAATATAATAAAAGCATGCCATTAGTGTATACAAATTTTATAGTGAAATCCAAGGGAGTACAGTTACCGATATGTATCCTCAGATCTTGAGATATGAGTTTAGAACATTGACTACATATTAATACATCTAATTTTAAATATATAAAGCTCAAATAATACAAGCAGTACGTATACTTTCTAGTTCAATAACTCAGACAAGTTCTAGTAGTACAGACGGAATAAAAGCAAATACACTGATTGACTAAATGTGAGGGAATATACAAAATATAAATCCATTAACAGCTCATTGCAGATTAGAAAATCTGTATCGAGTTACACGGTGAATAATTCTTGTCCTCAGCGAAAGTGTGCTATACTGAGGTATATTTCCACTTAACTTTGTTTTAGGTTCATTAGATTTTACGATTTGCTTTTACTTTAGTGTCTTTTATATCAATAATAAACATGCATAAAAGATACATGATTGATGGAAAATATACAAGCCCCTTTCAAAAATTAAAATTGTGCTTGAAAAGACGAGAATTTAAAACTTAAAAGTGTGGCACCAGGTGGATTCGAATCACGACTCTAAAAATGTACCTCCAGTGTTCATAGACTGCGGTTACACCATTTGACCCATTCTGGCAATGAAATTATGAACCAGGTTGTCAAAAACAGGTTTTCTAATTCTTGTAATTTTTTGTGAATTTCGACCTTAAAAGACTGCGCTGCCCCTAGAAAATCCTATAGTAAATAATTCCTTAAATCACATCTTATCAAATTATAATAATTTTATTTAGGGGCTGGCCTGCTCTGAAGAACTTCTAGCCCAAAATTCATGCAAAAATCGGTATTTTAACGAAGAATATGTTGCTTGAGTAAATTGAAGGTTGATTTTAGAGTTGCAAATAATTAATTTTAGGTTTTTAAGATCAAAATGCAATTTGAAAAATTTAAGATTAAAATGAAATTGAAAAATTGGCATATTTTGTCATTTTCCACAACGTTGGCCTAATGTGATCAGCACAACTAGATCGCGTTGGCGATTTTCATTTCTATAGAGTTTACTTGAGATTGTCCATATCATCTTCGAGAACAAAGGCAGACAATATTATAGAACATCTCACTCCTTCTTCGTTCGAGATAACATAACTAATTAAATTCGTTCATGTGATCTCGTTATTGATCGATCGCCGAGGTATCGCTTTAACCTAAGGGTAAACACGTATATTTACAAAGAATATGAAAAGTATACTGCGTCTGGCGCTTTATATATATTAATGCTTATATTTATAAATGCAACAATTATATAAATATTATGAAACAATATGTATAAGGAATCACTGTCCAGTTTGTTAGGTAAGGCAGGAACATTACTGATAGATGGTAACGTGGAATAATTTGCATATAGAGCGATTCCTTATATTTATATGGAAATATGATTGATTGATTGATTGTATATTGTTTTACGTCCCATTCGAGAATTTTTCACTCATATAGAGACGTCACCATATACCGGTGAAGGGCTTCAAATTTTGACCTTTACTCGGCACTCAGGGCCATTGAGCAGTAAGGGATCTTTATCGTGCCAACGCCTGCCGTGACACGGGGCCTCGGTTTTTAAGGTCTCATCCGAAAGACCCGCAACTTTCACTCCAAAGTGCCGAGCGCATGGCGAAGGAACAGTTGCTACCTATTTTTTATCGACTTAGGTCTGTCGCGGCCGAGATTCGAACTCACGACCTCCCGATCACGGAGCGAGCGCTCTATCGACTGAGCTACCGTGAACGGTATATATGGAAATAAAAATGTGAATATATAAAAATGCTGTCAAATAGAATGGAAATGCAGAGAGCATTTGTTACATTAAAAGTTGAAATCTAAAGTGTAAACTTATCTATAACTAGTTATAGATAAGTTTAAACTTTAGATTTAAACTTTTAATGTAACACATTCAATGTTATTTTCCATAGCCCCCTCCCCCTGAACTGACGTAAGACACAGTGGATAGCTCGAGAAATTGACATGCAGATTAGGCACTCGATCTTTCACTTTGCGAAATCTACATTCAGTTGTAAATACCGAGTATACGTATTAAAACACTACACTTTTAAAGAGTTATCTCAGAGAAAACACGAACTAAAAGTTAAAGTGAGACCCATCCTTAACAAATGAATTCTTTGTTATTCTTATCCTTAGAATGTGTATTTTATATTCGGACAAACGAAGTGAGCTAGAATAAAACTATCCAAAACGTTTTTAATTTTTAAGCATGTGATGGCAGAATGTACGGTAACAACTGCAATCAAAGTTGTGGACACTGTCTAAATAACGCTCAGTGCTATCATATCAATGGTACATGTTTAGACGGATGTTTTGCTGGATACGAAGGACAACTCTGTATGAACAGTAAGGAATCATCTTCTGTTAGATGGCAATTTCGTAGAGTTTGAGATATTCTACAACAATATTAGTGTTCATGGAAATACTCAAATATAGTAAATGCTCCTATTCTATAGAATGTAATGAAGTGAGTTGGGGTATCAACTGTAAAATGAACTGTAGCACAGAGTGTGTCAACCAGACGTGTCACCATGTGTCAGGAGACTGTTACATGTTTAAACAGGTAAGCCTATGACACATGTATAGAAAGAATTTTCAGGAGGTACTAGTAAGCATAATTCATTAAAATTATGTATCAAACCTTTCAGCCTTTGAAGACATCTTTGGATTCCTTTTCATCGCTGCCTGTCATTGTCGGTGTCGTCGTTTTAATCGCTGTTCTCGTCATTGGTGTCATTTTAGCTACCCTACTCAGACGGTAAGATGAAAGAAAAAGAAAATATCAAAAGAAAACACATTAAAAGTTAAATAATAAATTTTGAAAATATGTCTGACAATGTACGAAGATACATAAATATATAGAGGATATTCAATGTTTTGTGGTTGGATATGGAATTTATGTCACAAGTGGGACAGGATTTTTTTTTTTAATATTTTCACGAGTGCGGAGCACAAAAATCCTGTCTCACGAGTGAAAAAAAACTCCATCTCCGACTATAAAACATTGAATTTTCTGTTTATTACATTTTCAGATTTTTTTTAACTTACTTTCAAACTGTGAGAGAATATCAATGGTATCCTTTCATACTGTGAGAAAATATCATTTTTATTCAATAAATGGATAATAGTTTTTCACTATTGAAAATGTAATAAATTTTCTTTCTCAAACTACCTTCAATTGCTTTTCGTTATATCTAGTTCAAGTTTGATATTTTTTTTGTTCAGGGACCAGTCAAGCAAACAATTGTATAGGATTGTTTTTTCTCATCTGCAGGAACTGACCTTATATGTAGAAAATATATTTTTTATAGTAGAGCACGAGCATTGGAGAAAGATAACCGGGGGCAAATCAAGAAGAAAAATGAAAGAGACAGAGGTACTGAATATAACATATTGAGTTAAAAATAC